AAATTGATTGCAGTGTTGTCAGTGTACATGCACCCCAGAAAGGAATTCTATATCGTAAATGAGATTCTATGAGAGAGTGATATGTTACTTTGGCAGCAGCAAATCCCAACTCATAAGATGTCAGCCTCACAGCATAAGACTCTGAGGATAACTTTGATTTGAAACTTTTGATATGGTCTTCAAATTTCAAATCAGTGTCAATGGATAGTCCCAAAAATTTGGTTGATGGTTTATTCTCAACAAAGATGTTGTCAATTTGTAAATTGCTGATGGAACATTTGAAGCGAAGTACATTCGTTTTAATATTAAAACTGAGAATATTTGCATCACATTATCTTTTTATATTGCTAATATAATGATTTATTACTTTTTCAAGTTCAGAGGGATTTTGATCATGCCATAAAATTGTAGTGTCGTCCATATACAATATGTCATTATTTTTTTATATTCTCTGAAACAACAATTCTATTCATTAAAAACAAAAACAGCATAAGTAGTTTTTTCTAATCAACTTTCTATTTTTTCATCAAATTGTCTTCATATCTGTTACGGTTGAGAATACAGCGATGTATTTGCAAAATGTTTTGAAAAAGCCATTGAAACAAGATTATCCAACTACCTAACCAAATATAATATAATCTTAAAATCTCAATTTGGATTTCGCGAAGGGCTATCTACTAATGATGCTATTTCTACACTAACTGGAACAATGTACAAATTATAAGATGAAAGTAAACCAACACTCGTGGTGGTTTTGAATTCAGCAAAGGCCTTCGACACAGTGGATCATACCCACATGTTGGAGGTCCTTGAAAATACAGGAATGCGGGGGAAAGCACTCAATCTTTTCCAGGATTACTTAAATGGAAGAGAACAAATAGTGCGTTTTGATAACCTCTCAAGCACACCTAAAAATGTTGATTATGGTATACCCCAAAGTACTCTACTTGGTCCCCCACTATTCTCTCTGTATATTAACGATATATTCTCATTAGAGACAAATGGAAAAATAGTAAGCTTTGCTGACGATACAGTCATTTTATATACCGCTGAAACGTGGGATGATCTGAAGAAGGTAACAGAAAAATATCTTATCGATATATTTGATTAGTTTCAGTATAAAAAACTCACATTCAACTTCGAGAAGACCAATTTTGTTCCGTTTACTAGTTACAAAAGAAAACTGCCAAATTACCAAACACTAGATGTGATCAAAAATACTGAAAAAATCGAAATACACACTAAGTATAACATTAAATACCTAGGAGTAAAAATTGATTCACATATGCGATGGAATACTCACATAAACGAAGTCACAAGAAATATTCGATCATTGCTTTACAAATCCAAATTTCTAAAAAACATATTAGATATTACTCAATCATATCAGACATTCATCATCAAACCAGACATTCTAGGTGTCTGAAGGGAGTTGGACTGAATACATTCGGTTTTTTTAATAACCTTCCACTTTTCTAGGTGCTACATAATCAATAGAAGAGTACCACCTATTTTCCCGATTAATATTTCATGTTTTCCATGAGTAACGCATATATTCCAGGCCCGATCTAAAAAATGGTTTATTGGTAAAGAGAAACATAATCTTGTATATATCACTTCTAGCTTATAATTTATTTCTTGTCCTGGAATGAGAAAAGCAGCAATAGCCATCGTTTTAAATGAAGATATTTATTTTACTATCAGAGAGCATAATGGACTATAATACTCACGATGATTGAAATGTAAATACCAGAAAAGCTCACGACATGCTTCTAAATTGATATGTACATATAGAAGCGAAATCCTCGATTTTTCATATCAGAAATAATTTTACCCACAAATCAAACAGATAAATCAGGCAATAAATACTCACACTAGCATTTCCATTCGTAAGAAATTCTCTCTCCCTTCTAACATAATCATATTCAAGAAGTCATGATAGTATTTCATATTCTGCCAATAGTCCTAAGTTTGCTGGAAATCGTTTCAGGAATTTATGTTGATGTCATCAGTGATATGGTTGGGAGAGAAGGGCAAGTAGCAATTTCAGAATTTTCCTGTGACAAATCAGGTAATAATGTTTTCAAAGAATTCATACAACTATCAGAAAAATTTTCATATTCAAAAACATATGATGAATTTGGGAATCAATCTACAATCTCTCAGAGCCAGAAGGTGGTATGTTAGATTGTCGAGACATTTTAATTTTTTTTAATACTGACACATCGTGATGTTCATTATTTCCACCTCTACAGACACCCCCAGTTTTCAGTAGATAGTAAAATATTCTATTTTGATGTACATATTCACAACGTCACAAATATTCCGAACATTCAGGATTTAGTTAAAAAAAGAAGTAAGCATTTCGATAGTTTTCAAATTGATTGAAAATTGTAATAGTCCATTGTGAGTATTCAACGAAAGTCATTTTTTGTGGAGGAAAAAATCAGTTTTTATCGAGATTTTCACTTAGCACATCACAAAACCATGAAACTCCTGAAGATGCTATACAATAGCATCTCCAGGCCTGATCACTATTAACAGTTGCTGAAAAAACTATTGTATATTAAGACACGTGTCGTGCTTCTGTAAACTATTCTGTTAATGACTCACAATGAAGATGTTGAACTAAAGTTGACAAGTTAAGAGTTTTAAAAGTGCTTCTATAGTTTTCTTTTTCTAAAAAGTTCGAAATCAGTACTTCTGAATTCTGATTCAGTTCCTCTGCTTTTTTCATATAGTTTAGTTCAAACAGCATCGTCATCAAATCGGATGGAAAAACTTTGGAGTTAATTGAAACTATATATGAATCAAATAACCTGAAATATCATCAGAGTTGTTGAGAGTGGCTCTATGGTACTATATTGGCCATAACGACACCATATCTGATGGTGCCTAACATAGAGAGTGTAGCATTTGAAAAAAATATGGGCAACGCTTACTTATAGTAGTATAATTCATTCATTAATATTGGACTTTATCTTGATTTGACAGAATTTCTAGTATACTATGTTTTTTTATTGTTCAGCGGGTAATAATAGGATTTCATTAAAAAGGGCCATTTGGTGCGGTCACTTTGACAAGAGAAGCTATGCTCTTGAGTTATACTGTCTGTCTTAAAGAAGAGTATAAGAAGATCCAGCATACCCTATCAAATGTTTCATCGAAACCAAATCATAATTCAATAATGAATCATGATGAAGAAATCACAATCCCATTCGAAGTATTTCCTCTTCAGAGCCAAAACTGTCAGAATAAGAATAATCCTGGTTTGTAATTCAAAGTGAGCAATTGATAAAAATTCAAACAGTTTTGGTACTGGTGAATTGAAAACAAATGTAAATATTCACTAGTTGAAGAGTTGACTCAATAAAATCATAGCATTCAACACCATTTTGGTTCAGACTACTCCCCTCATAAGGAAAAATGATAAAGAAAAATCACACTTGAGATCTTCATTATTGTTGCCTGAAGTTCTGAATGTACAAATTGATTGAATGAACAATTGTAGGTAATTTCTCATTAGAATGTTAAGAGCTCTAAAGGTTAAGGAAAGCAATATTTTCAATTGAATTTGTAACAATAATCTTTCTTAGCCAGCTCACAAAATGGGTTCACAGAAAACAACAACTTTTCTGGATAATATCAAAACAATTATTGGATTTCGTTCAATATTTGTACGCTCCATCTAAAGATTATATTTGCCGATACTTTTCGTTATCGAATAGGAATTCTTTAGAATCAATCGAGTTGTATCTCTTGGACTTTAATTCATTTTCAGGGGTAGTATGGTAGCATCTGAACTATATGGGGTCCGCTGATTTATGTTTTAAAGGAATTAGAAACATCAAACAACAAACTTTCCAACGGCCCCTGTTTTGGTTTATAGTAGAAAGAATAATCTCTTTTCTCCGCATGATGAAGACAGCCTAGTGACCGTATCTGCTATTTTTCACAATTTCAAAAATTGCGTCGAAGTAAAATAGGTATATTTTCTTTACAAACAAATATTTCTTTTGACGTTTATTAAAAAAATATATCTGTTTCAGTCCCAATCGTTCTTCATGAGAGAATTTTTGGGTTTTGAGAACGAAATAGGATCATTTCTTGAACTTTTACGGTCTGGAGAAAGATGTGTGACGGAATTTTAGGTTTTTATCGATTATTCAATTTTAAGAAAATATTTTTGTGTACGACAAAATTTTGACTAGTTCAATAGTGATTTATATGACGCAGTAAATTTTCTAGGTGAATATCAGAATCAAATATATTCTTCAGTGAATATTTCGATATTTTTTCAACTACAAATCATTGCTATCAATGAATGACACTTTTCCTGAAATGTAATGAGGCCTAATGTTTTTAAAGGATCGAATGAGGTCGGTATTTGAAAGTATCTAAGAAACAGATTTCCAATATATGGTAATCAACCAACGTTTTGAACTAGCAAGTACAATAAATATTAAATTGTTCAATGCTTTTCATCTTTATAGCAGTCCTCAGCTTTCTACGATATGAAAAAACACAAATTGTATTGAGGAACTTCATATAGAAAGAGTAAACTCTTTGCTCATTTCAATAAGTTACTGCGTAATTTAACGTATTTATCACTGAAAAGTTTGTGTTATTTATCAGTATTTGAATGTTTCGAAACTTTGACTATCACAAATGAGCTGAGAATTGTACAGATACATATATCAACGTTTCGGACCCTAAAATCTGCCTACGTCCTCAGAAATACAAGAAAATAATTGTTACTGGAAGTTATTCCCTGATTAGATTATATTTCAAACGTTCTCCAATAATGCCAAAGAATTTATTATACAAAACTATTTTGTATTATCATTCACCAAGGCTTAAGAAGACAAAAAGTTATTCATGGCAATACCAGCTGTGTCTTTCTAGAGAAAAAGAAAACTTGTTGGTAAAAATCACAATGGACATGATTATTGAACAATATTGAATGTGGAAAAAATATTCTGTTTTTTTCAGAATCTGTCAAACTCTTCAAAAAACTGAACAAACAGGGTAACTTCATCAGGAAATTGTCTGTCAATTTCAAAGAATTGGTGTATCCAATCCCACCAAATCGGCATATTTTCATTCTCAACTTACAATGCGATAACTCAAGTAACGTTCTAAAACGGGTGAGTAGGTAATCCTTTTTATTCGATATCACTTACTTTTCATCAGTATCGGGAAAATGGCAAACAATTTCAGATATGAATTCCTTTTATGAATCCGATATTTTGTGGTACGTAACTCGATCGGATACCGCCAGATGTATCCATCTGAGATACTACTATATATGTATTGTTCCCTTCAATATTGTTGATTGAATTATAGTTCAGTATCATAAACTGGTTATTAGTAGAATTTATTTTTATTTGGTAATATTTGTTAGAATATGTGTACGCTGAAAATAACGATTTTCTAACAGTAAAACACGGCACTTATTTCTCTATTCGTAAAATGACTAATAATAATCATGAAATAATCAACTTCTATTAAAGTACTATTCCATAATGGCAGGCACTGAATTCTCAGAAATATTATTGCATTAAAACGAAATTATTGTTTTCAAGGTTGTGATTCTATATATTTTATCCTTTTTCCCCATCTGTTTAGTATACTTTTCTGTACGCCACTGCAAGAGACAGATTAAGGCAAAAACGTCATTTTTGAGAATTTAGTGCCCACTATTTTGAAATGATAATATGGGAGTTACACGATTTATGTATATTCAATGCACTGAAAATTGAGAATTCGTTCTTTTGAATTCTCATATCACATTTTGACAATTGTATATATTTACTTGGCTAATGATGAAACCAATTTCAATACTTTATTTTTATTCTCCAAAACAGATTAACATGTTCAGAAGTGTTTACAAGTAACAGAAAACAAATTTACAATTTTCCACGGTAACGAATTGATGATTTTCAACAATACTGACAATGCTGAACATGTTTTGAAACAGTGCTTGTTTTCTATTCATTCTGCGCCATCAATTCATTTAATATTGCATTTGAATGCATTTGAACCAATTTTTTTGAATTGTGATTCTTTGGGCGTTACTCTTTTTGAAATTTTCTTTCTTTTTTTGACCAGTGATGAATTATTTTTAACTCTCCCAATCAATTTAAAGAAAATCCACTCAGATTATCCACTTCTGATCATATTACTAAATAGATGAGATTGTTGGGCTTTCATAGAAATTCATAGATATATCAATTGAAGGATATATATATATATANCGCCTGATATTATAAGAGCGACTTGTACGAGAGAAGTGATTCGACGTTTCGAAGCCTGTATAATATCTAATGGGCATCACTTTGAACAATTTTTATGACTTATTTCTAGGTACCTACCATTCTTATGAAATGATTTATCAAGTTATATTATTTAGATTGTTATTAATTAAAGATTTGTTTTCGAATACACCTCTTTCAATTTCGCAATTGTTTCATATTCAAAATGATTCCTGACTGAATTCCCAAAATGTTGACTAATTTTCATGTGATCTGATGCAGAGAGAATAATTGTATGAGATATTTTAAAAAATAATAGTCGTTCTCAAGACTTTATATATTAAAACGCCGTAACCGAATTTCAAAAACCAAACATGAAATGATATCAGAATTTAACGTAGCATCTGAATATGTAATGGAATTTTGGTCTGTAGCACCTACACCAAACACCCTGTATATTTAAAAATTATATCAAAATATAGCTCTCATGAACTCCTAAAACTTTTCTATGAAACATTTTTGTGTATCTCCTTCAACAAACCAATAACTACCAACCAACCAACTCAATAACTACAACTCGATGGACCCACTGAATGTACTGCTTCCATTTGTACATAGCTTTGGAGTTTTCACGTGATAATCAACCCACCTCAGCGATTCGATTTTTATCTCCTCATTTGTCGCAGAACGCCGTCTTTTCATGGGTCTCTTGAATCTTGGGAACATGGAAAAGTCGCAGGGGGGCAAATCTGGTGAATACGGTGGCTGAGACATGATAAAGTGTTGTTTTTGACTAAAAAATTACGAACAAGCAATGACGAGTGAACAGGTGCATTATAACGATGCAAAAGCCATGAAGTGTTTTTTCATATTACGAGACAACTTCTTCGTATTGCTTTTCGCAAGCGGTGCATAACATCAAGATACTACTCATCATTGACCGTACGTCCATGTGGCAAGAGCTCCTGATGCACTACGCTACGGTAAGCGAAGAAAACGATGAGCAAAATCTTGACATTTAGTCGAAGTTGACGTGCTTTGTTGGTGTTGGCTCTTCTGGAATCACCTCAATTGGAACGAGAAGACTTTGTTTTCGATGTCATAACCATATACCAAAAAAATTACATGGCATGAGCCAGTTGACATATTGACTTTGATAAATGTTCGGAATGATATCTTGCTTTAAATTATCTTGCTTTAAATGACGGTGCAGTCCGTTGAATCCCAGTCACACTGGTTCTCCGTTGGATCTATAAGGTACCAACAAGGAGTATAACTTCAAAGCCATTCTATGGATAATGAATCGAATAATTTCAGCGATGCTCTACTGCTGGACGAACAAGAAGCACCTGCAAAAATTTTATTGGTGAACAACTTGAATCTGTCAGATATTATTCACTATCCATCGTGGTAGCAGCCAGATAATTAGTCGTTTTTCGGCTGGCATTCACCAGAGTTTACTGTTTATGAATATTTTGAGAGATGAATATCCAAATATTTTTTCGAAATCATTCGAAAGAGTCGTTAATTTCATTCTGATTTCTGTTGAAGTTTTGTAATACAGGATATTCCTTCTCCTTTTGGAGCCCTGTTCATGAAAGGTGTTTTAATCAAAGGGTTCGCAGAAGTTATCAGGGAATTGTGGTCAGAAGATTTATCTGATATAGTAATTAACACAGTCACTTGGTGATTGAAACTCGTGTTGAAGTGTAAAAAATAACGATTTGGTGTTGGGAAAAAACTCCAGTAATATTCATTATAACACCAAAGGTTTCAAACAGTTCATCACAAACACAGTTAACTTTAAATATCAGATTCAAAGATTTGCCCCTCGATTCATGGGTTCTGCCCATCAAGACGCCCACGAATTCCTTCGATATCTTTCAGGAGGTTTACATGAGTACCCCAACAGAATTACTGAAAAACCTGAACCGATCTTAACGGGGATTGACGACGACAAATTGAGCGACAGCGGAAAAGCACAAGGGTCCTGGCTGAGATATTTGAATATGAACAACTCTAAGATTGTAGACAATTTCGTTGGTCGATTAAAATCAACTATGAAGTGCACACACTGTGGATACTTAACAGTAACCTTCGATCTTTTTTTGGATTTATCTCTTCCCATACCACAAAGAACTGACCAGTTGAGTTTGTCACATTGCTTGGATTCCTTCACAAAGGAGAAAACTCTTGATGGAGATGAAAAACCAACGTGTTCGAGGTGCAAGGAAAGAAAAAAAATGAATGAAGTCCCTATCGATCTATAAGTTTCCCCGTGTTTCAGTAATTCATTTAGAAAAATTCTCTCTAAAAAGAGGCATATTGCCTGTTTCCATTAACTTTTCTTCAGATGAATAAGCATTAGCAATGATGCAGCAGACAATGTGGCTCCTTGTCATTATAATCTATATGCACTTTCAAATCACAGTAGAACTACTTACAACAGGCTTTATACAGCGTATTGCAGACACCCATATATATCAAATGTAGTTGAGGAGTAAAGGCTCGGCTAGCTGGACTCGCTGAATACTAATTTTTTGTCTGTTTCACAATATTTCTTTATCAGTGCCGTGTGTTCGTGGGGTTAGATGAGGTAGTGAGCGGTTTTTCAAACCGATTTATGAAAACTTTTTCTAGAGATCAATTACCCTAACACCAAACTGATATTATTGCACTCGACGCGCGTTTCGCTAACAAGGTTAGCATCTTCAGGAGAAGTAAATTGATACTGAATCTGAAGACAAGGGTTAGCTGTCTAAATAACTTAACTTTTTTGGTCCGATGCGGACTTTGTTTGTTAAATGATGATTATCCTAATTGATTTTTCCGTAATTAACTAGTGGAACTACTACCTGCAAATTAATTTGTCAACAATAGATTAAAAAGCGGACATAGCTAGCATAGATAGCATGACTGCCATCTCTGATAGATAGGAGTACTCCTTCAGGATTTAAAAAAATCTTAAATGATGGGACACAATGCAGAATAAATCTATGAAGACTGTATGAAATATATAACAATAGGTGAATATCCAAAATATCCTAAGGAAACAATTATGAAGAAACAGTAGCTAAATACTTGATTTGAATTCTACCACAGCTGACCTGGTTGCGTTAATCTATTTATATATTCAATTCAATCATTTCACATTTATTTGATCACGATTGAGTGAAATATATTTTCAATCATTATCACTTTTCTGTAATTTTCCCGAATAAAAAAAAATATATGATAATTAATTATAGAAAAATTCCTGATAACAATAATTTTCAGCCAGCCAGGCAACCAGCATTACTCATATGATAGTTATCAGTTGACTAATCCTTCAGTTCAGCCGGCGATTTATCGAAATATTCATTAGTGCCACCTACTCGCCAGAAGTTGAACTTTTCGTCGCACTTTGAATTGATTTAAAGATACCTACAAGCATCCTCACGAACTGATTTCTTCCAAATATATATATACACAGGAAAACAGAAAGTAGCATCTCCGAATGCTACAAAATAGATGGGGGTTTCTTATATCCGATGGAGAAAGAAAACCTAGAGAAAGAGGGAGATGGATCAACAATAAAGTCAGAAGTAAATCCGTCCAAATCGGCCTGTAGGTGAATATTGATCATTTCAGAAGATGTTCTGAAATGTTCATCAGGAAGAGAAGTTGAGAAGTTGTTTTCCGGCAGACATTTGCCAAATCCAACTGTATAAGAATATTGGTAGAAGTTACTGTTCCAGATGTTATTTCGGAATTTTTATTTTGTTTTGCCACTCTTCTCGAAAGTATCAATCCTTTTTTTATTTAGGTTGATAGCACATTGCCTTTAGTATTCAATATTTTGGTACTTACGATGTTACGGTACATGATCAATAATAATAACATTCACTTCAAATACTTTTTTCCTTCGTGAACAGTCAGCATCAGGTATATGAAATTGAATTCATCGCGGAACAAGTAAATCCTAGTAGTAGTCGACTACAAAAGAAATACTCTTTCAGTGTATTTCTGGTTGAAACTTTCTCTCAACTGCTTCTAACATATCATTGATTTTATTTTTCAGTCTAACGCCCGACACTTGTTTGCTTTTCCATTTCAATGGATGCTCTATTTCCATAATTCTTCGAGAGAAGAAATTCTTGAATATTTTTTTCTGGATATCGACATACTTGTTGACAGCAATGTGAATTTACTCCAGTTACATGAAAATGAATCTGTTTCTATTGAAAAAGTGTATAAGCGTCAACAGAACTCATCATTCATCATTGAAAAAGTGGGGCATTGGACTAGTAACGGGGGATTTAAGGATTATGGACTTAGGTTGAGTATGTGGAGGAGAAGAAATAACCTGGAGAGGATCATACTCAATACATGCATAGTCATTACTAACAATGATTCTCTTAATCATTTAACAGATAAGAGGTGGGTTGACTACATGAGTAATACTATTAGGATTAGTGAAACTTGAATGAAGGAGTAATGAATTACATCTGTAATCAACTGAAGAAGAATATATTTATTTTTTTTTCAAGGGACAAACATATCGATAGCATAGCAAAAGTCAACTACGTACTGGTGGAACATTTGAGTGACATCGTCAATATTAGGTTAAATTACTCTATTCAATCAACCTGGGGTTATATGAATAACAAGTCAGAGTGGAGCGGGATGATAGGAGAATTGACAAGAAACGAAGCTGACATTGGAGGTAATACATATCATTTGTAAGTGGGGTGGGAGGTGTCTGAGACAAGCTAATAACAATATTTTCATATTCAATAGTCCTATCAGGAAATTTGAACAAAAATTTTAACGTGCTATTGAAATAACAGAAAATGAAAATTTCTAGGAACTCTGTACTGTACACTCAACACTTTCAAAGCTTATAAGAATCATTTATATGACCAAACAATGAATGAAGTTTGTGTTCTTTTCAAGAACATGTTTTCATCTAATCGTGACAATTTTCGAGTTATTATAGAAATAATGAGGCGGTATTTTTTGTTTTGTATACTTTGGAGAAATGTCTGATATTCATTTCGGAAAAAAAATGATGTCGTTTCCATAATATGTTTCTTTAGAAGACGTAGGTTCCAATTTCTAGGGTTGTATAGCGTAAAATAACCTTAATCATGTTGACGTTTTGAAAAGCACAAAATAAGATGTAAATTCTTGTATGGAGAGAAACATTATATAAAAAACACGTGTTGCGTGTTTTTGATCCTCATGAGGATTATTTTCTTAACGTTTTGGCAAAGTCACATATGCCATCTTTTGATAATGTCTAGATCAGAACTAGAGTCATTGACTCAAACTATGTTTCTTAATTCATGGGGGTGGTTGGTACCTACTATTACCTGGGTTGCTCCTTTCACCTGTGTTGGTTTGATTACCTGTGCTGTCCCGTCTGCCTCTGTCATGATACCAAAATTATCACGTGCTGAATTTCGCTTTCGGAGTTGTGCAGTCTGCTTAATTGGGTTGGATCGCATCTACAGTTTTCATCTGTCCTAGGTTCCGGCTCCTGACTTGAAGCCATTTTCAAGAACCACTTGAAACTATAGTAACATGACTCGATGACGACTGGTAAGCTACGTGACCACCAAGTCTCGCCAACTTACGACATATTTTCTTTGTTTATTTCCAAGTGAACACTGTCCACTTGAAGTGGAGATCATTACTACAAGTAATGTTATCACGAGTCACTTGTTACAAGTGAATACGCGCCTTACGTATATGCAGGTCAAAGTGGTAGATAAAATACAGCAGTACTTCATTTGCTGGTACCTAATGAGTCATTTGTCATAAAAGGTTACACGCCCTAGGTATCATAATTCGAATATAATTGTCTATCCTCACATCATCTGTCCCACCATCTGAAGTAATCCTAAACCAAATAAAAGAGAAATTAGCGCCTGTAATATGTATGCAGAAGATAAGATTTGCGTTATACTAACATTCGGAAGAAAACCTGACTTTGAAAATATGACCCGACCGAAATCAGAACTCGACTCTCCTGTCTCTTCTGTTACTCTGATTGTGTAGTTGGTAAATGCCTAAAGAATAAGAGGGGTGGATTCAAATCCCGGTCTGGTCACATTTTTCATATCTTTCTAATGTCTTCATACCGCAAACCTAATATTTTGCCTTCGACGTGCTATTCATAGGTACGCGCCGCCGGCCCCCCGGTCGGTACCGGCGCAACAACAGACCTGCATTTCAAATCTGTGACATCTTTGGAAATATTCATTCAAATCACATACTGTAAAGGGCCATATTGATCCATACTGAATGCACAATGTTCCAATGGTACTTAATTGGGTAATGATTAATGCTGTATTGTTTAAAATCGCTTCGTAAAAAAGTGAAGTATCAAAAATTATTATTGTGCGTTATCTCTAAGAGATAGACATATACCATCGCGGGCTTTTTGTAGACTTTATTGAGGTGTAGTACATGTAGTAGTAGAACTGTAGTACATTTTTTGCTCTATCTCGTAGGGTTTAGCCAGGGTTTGCAATGTAAGCGCAAAAACATGTGTCTATTTACATCACATTAGAAACCTCTAGAATTATCGGTATTTCTCTACCATCTTATGCATATCATATACATATAAACCTACCTCTTGAATCACTCTATCTACTAAATAAACGCATCAAAGTCCGTTGCGTAGTTTTAAAGATCTTATCTCACATAGGGACAACAGTGGAAAGCGACTTTGTTTTGTACTATGTAGACTGTGTAGAGATACCACAATGTGAATAAATAGCTCCAAATAAAGTTATATTTTTCAGGAACGGCATTGTTTTTCACCATTGACAGAGTTGATATTATCGACTATATCGCAATGACGACACCAACTAGGTCAAAGTTTGTTTTCAGAGAACCCAAACTCTCCTATGTCACGAATGTTTTCACTCTTCCATTTGATGATTATGTCTGGGCATCTACTATTGCTCTTGTAATCATAATCGGAATGATGCTTTTCATTATACTCAAATGGGAATCGAAAAAAAAGAACTATCAACAGAAAAAGGTAAGTACGTATTTGGAATGTTCAGTTTCCAAATGTTTTGCTATATCTATTATGCTCTATAAAAAACTTCGAAACCAAAACTAATCGTTTTTAATTCCATTGAAAGAAAAAAAAACTATGATTCTGTTACCTTCCATTAGGTACTTTTGCATATTTTATATAAATGTAATATGGTTTTCTATTGTATCAAAAAGTTGTGGTGACAAACTGAAGTTCACTCAGTATTCATTTGAATATTGAATGAGGATTACTATCAGGTTAACAATATCAATAATTGCTCATTAATTTTCGTCACCGATTGTTCAAGAACAGACATGACTGTGAATAGCAACCAATCTTTTGACATGAGATTACTCCCATTATCCTTGTGATAATGAGGAAGGCAAAATGAGAAAAATATTGCTCAACTAGACCATAAATACACAAGCTGAATGACTTATCCAATTATGATAATTTCTGAGTGAGAAGCTATTTGGCTTTCACTTCTTCAACATTCAAAAAAGTGTGATGGATTCATCGAAGGAAGGAAGAAAATAGGAAGGTTCAAAAAACTCTTCAACAAAGCTGAGCAGATTATGCATGTCAGGTTCTTTCAGATACAAACTGAAAGAAAAAGCCATCCGGAAAAAACTGTACTTTCAAAACCACTAATTTCATTCGAACGTTAAATTATATGAAAGTCACTTTTTCTTCGATCTACGCTCTCCAAACGTTTTCATGGAATTGAATCAAATATTATTCATAGGAACACTACATAATAAAGGGTCTTTCAACAGGAACTTTCGTTCTTTGACAACTGATAACGGCCACCCTGTTGAAGCTACATCTGTCAAATCCGTTTTCATTCATTCATTGAACACCCGTACGTCGACAAAACGCAAAATCTACTGAAAACAGCGCAGCAGGCAGTCGATTTCACGTCGCTCACAAGAATTCGGGCTTTGGTAGACTACAATTTCGTATCGTGACTTGGGCCTGCACCCGTACAAAATTCAACTGACCGAGAAACTGAAAAGAAACGACCACAAACGTTCGCTGAATGTGGTCTGGAGCAGTGGGCAACTGACCCCAATTTCCATCGAAAAGTCATCTGTATCGATGAGGCTCTTTTTTGAATGTACGGATAGGTAGGTAGGTCTAAAGTGAGTGGGTCTATTCGACCCTTCACCGCAACCCACAAGGGTTTATCGTGGCTCACACCTATTCACACTCGGCCAAATAAACCCAGCTTCTTGAAGAAGCCGATTAGTTTGTATGGTGAGTGGTCATTCAGGTCAGATGGTCTGCATTTTCCAAACAGAGGTGACACACACTTTCTTCTGACAGTCCGAGTCTCTGCTTATGATGATTCAAATGACAGTGACCTGCAAGACTGCCTGTTAGACATCGTAGTTCATCCCTACTGTAGTCCAACAACTGTTTGAAATCAAGCTTCGAAGGGTAAATAAATACCTTGGAGCCAATCCTAGGAGATTCTGCCAGAATTCCATTAATCTTCTTCCCATCCAGGTGTTCAATCTTTGTTTGGCCAAGCCTAAAGCGATGCCAATGACAGGTTCTGGTCCAATGAAGCCGCTTGCAGCACACTCCTTTGCAAGAGAGTCAGCAGCTTCATTGCCTTCCAGGCCAGTATGGCCAGGAATGCAGACTAGAGACAATCTGTTAAGTTTTCCTATCGAGGAGAGTCGTTTTTGGCAGTTTGCTACTAATTTAGACGTTGCTCGGTAGGAGCCAAAAGCTTCCAATGCCGCTTGACTATACGAGAATATTTTTATTGACTTGTGAATGAGATTGGATTTACCCAAGGTGACAGTTGACAGGTAGTTGACAGTAAGCATAAAGTCAGAGGTCATTTCCAGAATGATGTGACTTCCAATGTCGACCAACAGTCTGTTGCACTCTGCATTGAATTTATTTGTGCAATTGGTAATGTGTACAGGTCTGTTTGCAGTCCATCTAGCCTCTCTTTCCAGAAAAATGTAGAGAGGACATAGATCTAGAAGGATCTCCATGGACGCTGACGGTGTGGTACTGATGGCACCACTGATATCCAGACAAGCCTGTCTCTGTAAGCCAGAGAGCTTCGCTTGGCCGTTTTCTGTAAATCCTTCGGCTGGAGCAGTAGGTAACTGACCCCAATTTCCATCGAAAAGTAATCTGTAGTAATGAGGCTCTTTTCTGGATGTATGGGTACGTGAACAAACGAAATTGTCAGACAACGAATTGTTCTCTTAGATGATTTGAAATTGTCAGATTTGGGTCGATACCAATCCACATGAGATTCAAAAGCGTCCAATGCATTTCGAAAAAATCATTGCTGGGTGTGGATTTTGGCTGGCGGCGTCATTGGTCCATATTTCTTTGAGAACGTTGGCCAGGCCATCACTGTCAACGGCTAGCACTATAGGTCGATGATTACCAACTTCTTTCAGCCCAAATTGGATAACCTGAATATCAACGACATGCGGTTTCATCAGGAGGGCGCTACGTGCGACACAGCTCATGACACATTGGATATTCTGCACGAGCGATTCGAGGGCACGGTCATCTCACGTGAAGGTGATGTTAAGTATCCACCGAGATCGTGCGTTTTGACCCCGTTAGACTTTTTCTCATGGAGTATTTTTAAGTCGCAGGTGTATGCGATTGAGCGACAAACCACAGCGGTCCTCAAAGCCAATATAACCCATGCCATCGCTCAAATTCAGCCTCATTTATGCGTAAGAGTCATGGAAAATTGGACGTTTCGTAAGATGTTATATTCCACACTTTCCAAAGAAATAACAAATTTCGATGATATCCCACACAAGTTTTTTTCAAATTCAAAGATACGAAGCGCTCAATGGCAGACTTCGAAGTTTCGGAATGAAACATCTGTCTTATTTTCTTATCAGCAAGTAAATAGATGACAAGATAAATAATTCATTTCATTCATAACATTACGACTTTATATAATGGATGGATAGAAAAAATCTATCATGTCACGATGGAAGTTCCTGTATAAAAACATTCATATGTGTTTGATTCAATTCCACCCACAATAATCTTGTTTGACTCAAAAGGGGTATTTTTGAAGAGAGACTAGTTTCTAGGAAAAAACTTTCTGGCTGTCAGTTTTTCATCCACATGCAAAACATTGTGGAAAACTTCAACGGTAATGCAGGAAGCAATTAAGTTCGTAATTAAGTATGTGATAAAGATGTGGATCATGCACAAAAGTTACTTTCAGATACAAACTGAAAAAAAAAACCTTCTCGAAAAAACTAATTTCATATAAACAATGAATAACAGGAATGAAAAAGTACTTTTTTTCGTATAGAGTTCACAAGTGACTTCAATGCTTGGTCTACATATCTTTGTTGGAAAGTTCATCTTGAAGCTGATTACATTCCTTCTTCAATTTGAAAGTGTCTTACAATTTTTCTGAAAGGAGGAGTAAAAGACAAAACCTTTTTTTTTCGACAATCAATCTCTATTTCAAAATAACCCTCAAAATTTATATGATTTACGTTTCGAAAATCAAAAATTGGTCTACAATAGTGCCTGAAAATCATTTTCTTACACTATTTTGTAACCATCATCATTACCTATCAATAAAAAGAAACAAAATATATCTAAATAATTATTTTCTCTTGGAGTTCTTGTTGAATACTCTTCGTGAGAAAAATAATAGCAGAATCAATACTCCTGACCGCTCTGGATTAAATGATTCCATACAGTCTATCTCGTCTTGTATTTGTAAATCTCTTGCTGGAAAAATCGTCACTAGTTCACTTTGTAGTAAATGTTCAAGAGGTAGCAAAACCGTATGTGAATTTCTGGAACTTCAACTAGCATTGCCTAATATTACTAATAACCAAACCTTGCAAAACGTATTGTTAAATCATCTGAAAATGGAACTTTTAACAGGTGATGATCGACTGTATTGCCAAACATGCACCAAACTAACTGACTGTTATAAGAAAACAAGTATATCTCAGGTCAATCTAATAATAACACTGATGATTCTCAAACAAGACTCAACCTCTGACGGAAGCACCAAACACTTACGAAGGTATATGATGGAATCGGCCGATACTTGATGCGATTAATAACGGTTATAAGGTAGATATTGTAATGTATGGCGAAACACGTGTTGCGTTTTTGTAAAACAATTTAGTGAAAATCTCACAATAAAGTGTTTTTGGAATACGTTACTTACGAAGGTTCAAAATAGATGAAGACTTCAATCTAGCAGACCACTATTATAATCTCCATGAAGTCATTGTTTACTGTGGTTTTGGCGTTGAATCTGCTCATTCTTACGCCTTGCTCAAAGACGAAACGGACTGGTTTAAGTTTGACGATAGTCGTGTCACTAAGTGTTCTGGCGATGTATTGAATTCATTGGAGTCTCTGGAGACACCCTACATTTTGCAGTAGATGTGGTGCTGCAGATTTTTCCGGGTTTTCTTGCAGCTGAAAAAGCAAATGCGTCACTGGAATCAATGAAGTCGCCACGGAGCGCCAATTATTTTTTGTGGTTGTTTTATAATTTCATAATTTGTATTTTGGAAGTGTTTTAAATTTTGAAATGAAATATATTATTTTTTCACAAATTGATGGATGTAGCCGTTACTACGTGGTAGGAAATCATAATGAAGAGAAGAGAAATGAAACTTTCTATGTTTTTAACCACAAATGTGGTAATGCCAATTTTAGAAATCAATCAGGTTTTTTCCAAAACTAACATTAAATAGACATATTTTATATCATAACAGTCATTATACCAACTGAGAAATTTGCATTCCACATTCAATCTTTCCTTAAAGATCCACCACATTTAATGAAGCATATCCGATTTAGTTTTATTTAGCCCACACTGATGCATATTTTATTAGATTTTTCCATCCACAGAAAAATCCAACAGTACCAGGACTAGAGGACTCTGTGAGTGGTGTTGCCCTCTTTTCGTTTGGGGCATTTTGCCAACAAGGAGCACCATCTATACCATTGAGCATTCCTGGAAGAATAACCACGATAATGCTCTTCATTTCTTTCATGTTCCTCTATACCTCCTATTCGGCGAATATTGTTGCCCTTCTTCAGTCATCCTCAACTAGCATTCAAACTTTGGAGGACTTGCTCAAATCACGACTACAAGTAGGAGTAGATGACACTGTGTTCAACAGATTTTACTTTCCTGTGAGTTTTATTTCAGCTGATATGGGTGATAAATGAAACATGCAATGATTCAGAATTAGTACCGCTCTCAGTACCAATACTGTTACACTCTTCTAGATGCGTTTCTCCACATAATTCGATTTGAAGTTGGGTTCGAGTCATTTACTGAAGAAGACTAGGTGTATTCAACTGCGACTCTTCAATTTATGAAAACTTCAGATTATACATTTCGAAAAACAGATTCGCATCATTCTTGGGAATATAAAGAGATCTGGTCATTTATACTGAGAAATTTCAGGAATAGTTGCTGGTACTACTATACCTAACGTTCACATGTTCAATTTGTAATATACAGTGCATTCTATTTAAAACGAGCCACTTTAGGTACAATGATTTGCAGGAAAAATTAAAAAACACGTCAACCATACTATACAGAATGACACATTTGATGTTAGTTTCCTTATAGCACTTATGTCACCATTTATTTTAATGGATCAATTGTTTTGCATTATCGGATTTTCCGTATGTTCAATTATAATTATCCAGGAAAAAATGTACGACACAAATACGTTTCGGAATTATTGAACAAATTTATGGAAACTGGATCTGTTAACAATAAAAAGCATAACCGTTCAGGAGTTGTCAACGAAGAAGCTATTTGTAGTGCAGTTTCAGGGCTCGTTGGACTAATGGAAAATTCGCAATCTCTCACTAAGTTAGTTCGAGAATCAGGAGTCGTACAAATGTTTTTAGGGTCCTTCATCAGTACAAATTTCATCCATATAAGATTAGACATGATGAACGAAGATGATTTTCATAAACGTATCGAGTTTTGTGAAAGTCTCACTGAACGAATCAACTGCCATCAGAATTTCTTGTATTGAATTTGTTTTTCGGATGAATGTACGTTTAGTTTGAATGAAGAGGTAAATCGGCAAAATTATCGATATCGGAGTGATACGAATCCTCATTTATATCGTCGAATTCATACCCAACAACCTTGAAAACTGAATGTTTGGGCAGGAATTTCAGGTGACTACATCATAGAACCTTTTTTTATCGATAATAATGATAATTCAACCAGTGATGAATATTTGGATACGTTGGATAATTGAATAATACCCTGCATCAATAGGGCAATTGAGGAGGTTATGAATTTATTCTAAAACGAAATAGTTTTTCAGCAGGATGGTGCAACTCCTCATTATACAGCTCCAGTGCGACAATTTTTGGATGATCAATCTCCAGGTCGCTAGATTGGCAGAAGAGGCCCTATAGAATGGCCACCAAGGTCTCCGGATCTCACTCCTGTAGATTTCTTTCTATGGGGTCATTTGAAGTCTGAAGTATATGAGATATAATTGATAACATTGGAACATTTGAAAGAGAATATTATGAGGCATTGCAGTGAAATAACTGCCGAGATTCTCAACCACGTGAGGGCGGCAATAGAAGCTAGTTCATATCATTGTATGGAAGTTGATGGAAACGTTTTTGAACATTTAAAAAATATTTTTTTTTCTCATTGTCCAGTCATCAGATTTTATTTTGCAAATCATTCTTTCAAAAGTTTATACTTTATTGAAAGCCGTTCATCATGGAACATCTAATAATGCAAAACAATATAGAGTGATCCATTCAACAAAATTGGTGACATGCTTTGGGGGTACGATAGGGGAAATAACATCAAATGTTAATATGTCAAAATGTGTCCCCCTGTATACTATTGTCGACGTGTTGTTTTTTTTCCTTAAAATCATTTTACCAAAAGTTATTCAGGGTGGCTCGTTTTGAATGGAATGCACTGTAAACATAACGGAATAGTTCTGTATGCAGCCTTCGAAACAATAAGGGCTTTGGATTTTATTATTCATATTGTTCGTAACAATTAGACAGAGTTGATTTTGAATTGAACTTCGAAGACTTTTTTCAAATGGCCAACAGATTTGTTTGTGATTTCAATAATGTAAGATACAAAAAGAGTTTGAAGATACAAAAACTACTCAATTACGAGTATGAGTTACTAAAATTAGACGGTCTGTGGTGAGAGATTCATCGGTCAGTCTCAGCTTGATTGAATATTTTGTGGAAAATAATCGCTTGATGGGCGTGAAAATAAAATATCATTATTTTTGGAGTTCTTTGCTGCTAGTTGAAGGACAACTTTCTGAAGACAGGAAAAACAACGGTTGGTTCGATGGTTGTTTTAACCAAATTACTGAAATATTCACTCTCGAACATGTTAAAAACATAAGAATATAGGATCGGAAATTGAAATTGAAACACACCTTATCCTTAGTGAATATCGTTTCGATCGAAATGTACTGTTTGTAATACAAAAGTTTTTTATCTATGGCACGATGAATACACACAAATGAACAGTTTTTGTGGTCTATGAATCACCATTATTGATACTCCATAATTCAATTCACGAGAATCATATTCAGTGGAAATGATTTGCTGCTAAAAAGGAATCATTCTTTGAGAAGGTTGGAAGAATTAAACAAATATTTTTGATAATTTTTCAATATTCATTCAAATAAAAATTGATTTTCATCCTCTTCTGGAGAGAGCAAAGTACTGCACTGGTGGCGATGGAGGTGTGCCCATAAAAATGCTCACTCGTGATTATTCTGCACTCCTGCTGGGCCATTCTGATTGTTCTGCACTGTGACTAGGTTGTTCTGATTGATTCACGTTTTTGACTGGTATGTGTAGACCAATTAGAACGGCCTAGTAACAATGCCGACTAATTAGAATAACCAGTCAGAAGTGAGTATTTTCATGGATACCTCGTCATCACTCCCACCATCACCTCACCATCGGCCTTCCGCCGTTCCACTATTATTCCTACCACCCTCTAGAAGTATAAATACTAGTGAACACGTAGCTCGTCAGTCAGTCATGGCTGAAACTTCAAGATATAACTTTCGTTTTCGCAGTCAATGCACATTTCACTGATTATGTCTTTGGTAGTAGCATATGGAACGTTCAGAACTTTAAGTTAAATTCTATTATGGCCTACTTGTCCCGATGTTGTTCTCTTCGATCGAGATTTCGGGCGTGAAAGTCCATTTATTCACAAAACTGATTGAATACCAGTTGATTCATCTATAAATCAACAGTATATTGAGGCTCATTATTCTCTATCTTTACTGGGGTAGACATTTTATAATTAAACTAGTCTAGCAGTCATATTAGTGAATCTATATTCTGAATCTTGGAGTAAATCATGACTGATCATTATTTTAAACCGCTTGCATTGATATTTGATCGTGGAAAATGATGAATATTCATTTATCAAAGTGATTTTATAGATATTTCAACAGGTTTGTGGTGGAATTAGCAAGAACTTGATGAAAATTCAGAAATAATACTATGTATGAAAACACTGAAAATCACTCAATGAAGTGTTACTTTGATGATTCAACAGGTTTTTAAAACAGCTGAACAAAAAATTAAGCATGATATTTGGAAATATTCATCAAATTTTCCATATATTCTTCTAGTTCAATCGTGCAAGTATGTTATTGGTGAAGAAGGTAATTTACATAGAAAATGTTATTTTCAAAAGAGTGGTTCAACTAGCTTCGCAATCTTCAAATCTCGGGTAAAATAGTCAAATTCCATTCATCAAATTTTTTTTAATTCATACAATTCAGAATGCTTCAGAACCTATAAGAAGAGCTATTTACTTACAAAAAGTGGCCCCTCCTAATAAAAATGATAATTTCATGCCAATTGAGGAAGGTGTGAGAAGGATGAGAGAAGGTCTCTTCGCATTCCATATGGAAACCGGACCAGGATATAAACTCGTAGGTAAGGAATAAAAGTGATAACATATTGAACAAGTTGGATAAATATAAATTGATGGGGAGACTTTAACAGTGATGATTATCACATCAACACATTCTCTTCCACAATCTCACACACATGAACTGTTAATCTGTGGGTTGTTTGTGATGAGAGTTATTGAACTATTTTGGAATTCATATGTCATAATAATTAAATAACTCATACCATATCTTCACACACATTTCATCCAGTAGTTTACTCAGACGAAACGCTCTCAATGATTATGTAGTACCAACACCGAAGCGATTGAATTACTGATTCTTCACAGGAATCTACTGAACAAATGCCTCCAATCCGAAAATGAAAACTATTGATTTATTAGCAGTTAGTCAGAGTATCAAATACAAAGTTCAAACGCTCTATATCTTCCTTCCAAGGAATTATATGGAAGAACCATATGAATAATACCTTCAGAAAAAGAAAGTTATCAAACAATTGTTTTTTTTTGCCGACGTTTAGAATTTTATTAAATTATTCTTCAGAGCTCGAAAAGTAGTTTTCAAAAGAAGAACTGCTGTTTAGAATCAGGGACGAAATTTGGAGAATTTTTTTTTGTTTCATTCACTTTATAGATAAAAACGTAAAGAGATATAAAAACACTCGCTCCCTAAAAAACTGTACTCTGATTACTGCTCAGCTCGGTCAATTCTTTCAGTTGAAACTATTGTAATTTATTTGTCTTAGTTCAACTGAACAGTTCAGTTCACCTGGGACTGAGACACACGCGCACAATGTTTACTGACAGTTTTGGCTGTTTAGTTATAGGTTTGTTACGATTCTAACATCCGAAACTGTTTGGAAACTACGCAAGACATGATGCGTACAAGCAAAAAATCTCAAACAGTCCGAAATAGTCTCGGACACTTGGTTAAACCAGAACGCATTCTGAGGAGACCACTGTGCCACCTGTCGTATATATGACGAAATGAAAACCAGACAACACTGTTGATCATGTCCATTTTGTTATGTAGCGTATCCTTGTAGTCAGTTGAAATGTTATCTAACCTCAATCATCAATTATTCAAATCAAATAAATAAAAAAACATCCTAGAAAATAGCCCAAACAAATGTCCACATGAATGCGCATGAGCAACGGGAACAGTTCTCAACAGTTCAGACTTGAGAGCAAGAACGATTCGGGTCGGTTCAAGATCATGATACTATAACCATAACCATATTATGGTTATAGTATCATGGTTCAAGATAGTGTAGGATCATTTCGCAGTCGAAACCAGAACAGAGTTTTCATCAATCCGAAACTATTAGCAATAAACCATAACGCTCTATATCAACTGCGCATAATCCTAACGTCCTAGAACCTGAATTTCGTAGAATCAGAACAAACCTCATAACTGTTAATTATAACTTCACGTGGTTGTCTGGTATAACTTTCCACATGAGAATGTTATAATACTATCTGAGCTTGCAAGAGATCTTTTGATCGGTCATTACATTTTACCATTCATTACAATATTATTATGACATCTGAGAAATCATCTGTAAAACGATTTTCAGCCGAAATATTCGAAGAAAGTGAAAAATGTGGCCTCAAGGAGATTCAGTATTTACAAGTAGTTGATCCCTGGTTGGCAATACAGAAAAATTCATCCTACAAGAAATATTTGAAAATTGGGTAAGAACAGTTGTTATACATTTTTTTTTACTACTTGGGCTTATTGCGTTTTACTCCCATTTTTTCGTGAAATCTCACTCAACAATTTTGTTTCCTTTACTGATTTCTACAGATATCTTGCTGGATGTATCTGATATTTGTTTCTGTAATCCAGTGCCCCACATTCGTATGAAATGTGACAAGCTGTTTCTATCCCTTTGTGAGTAGTACTGTGATTGTTCTGAGACAATCCCTATTTTTTTGAAGCAGTCCACCTCTCTTCTCAGATGGCTCCTTCATAAAGATTTCTCCGTGTGTGCTTCCGAGTTTATTCTCCCACAACTAGATAAGGCCTATATAAGGAATTATTAATCCGTGTCTGGTACATATCAGGTCTTTCATTGCCTTCTATATCCGAGTGCCTTAGTACACAATATACAGGCTGATTCACGGTGGATGGCACATTAGACGTTTCTGGTGAACCAGACAACGGATCACTTTGAAAATTTAATGGAGGGCATATTCGGACATTCTCTAGCCAACTAAAATATTTCCGACAATGCGGTGTTGCCGCTTCTATTAGAAAGCAGTAGCAACTTTGATTTTTCAAATGGAACACTCTGTATATAATATTAT